CCGGGACCCACTGTCACAGCCCACTTCCCGGACACCCAGCCCCATGGCCCTGCAGGTGGGCTCCCCTCAGCAACGTGCCGCCCTCTGCTCCTGCCTGTCCACCTCGCCAGGGAAGCCCATGCCCACCACACAGAGCTTTGCCCTTGACCCCAAATATGCCACCCCTAAGGTCATCCAAGCGCAGGGCAAGGACTGTTCCAAGGGGCCCTGCATCCTGCCCATCGTGAAGGATGGGCAGAAGGTCAGCAGCACTCACTACTACCTGCTGCCTGAGCGCCCTGCCTACCTGGACAAGTACGAGAAGTTTTTCAAGGAGGCCAAAAGCCCCGAGGAGGTCCCAGCATCCCGCCTGGTCACCACAGCCACCGTCCGTCCCATGGTGCAGCAGCAGCTGCCACCAGATTGCAAGGCCAACTTCTCCTCCAACAACAGTAACCCTGGGCCCAAGTGCCTGGTGAAAGCCTCCTGCAGCCTCCAGAAGATTGTCTACGATGGGCCGGATGGCTGCCGCCCCGCTGATAAGATCCGGCTGGTAAGCGACATCCCTGGCATCTGTGGGCAAGAGGGTATGTGGTGGCCATGGGCTTGCTTGGGCAAGAGCCATCCCCACCTTGTGCCTTGGTTTCCCCACAGTCAACCCTGGTGGGGGTTGTCTACAAGGGCTTCCCAGATGTGTTGTGGGCCATAAGTGTCACTGCAACTCCAAAATGGGGATTGCAGGCCTTTTTAACCCAAATTAACCTTAACCATGGCCGCGGGGGCAGGGAGGAAGGTGGCTGTCACTGCAGTCCCCTTGGGCTTTCCAGGCTGGGTCTTTGGTGGCCAGGAGTCTGCACCTGAGCCCAGGAGAGGCTGAAGATCCCAGGGGTGAGGGTGGTCTCAGCTCTGGGCTGATGGTGCTCCCTGGGGACAGAGTCAGGGTAGGGGGCAGCCCCGGTGTCCCCCTGCTCCAGCCACAGGCTTCTCGCTGCCCAGGGGTGGTGGCAGGCGCTGACCACAAGCTTCCCCCAGGTGCAGGACATGGTGCATGGTGTGACCACTGAGGAGTGCCAGGCGGCCCTGCAGAACCATGGCTGGAGCATCCAACGGGCCATCCAGTACCTGAAGGTACCACATGCCCTCGTCCCCCTGTCCTGGCTCCCACGAGGGTGGCAGCACCCCTGTCACCCACCTCGCCGTGCCCTGTCCCCTTGCAGGTGGAGCAGCTCTTCTGCCTGGGGTTGAAGTCCCGTGTCGAGTGCCAACGGGTGCTGGAGATGTTCGACTGGAACCTGGCCCAGGCCAGCTCCCACCTCCTCGATCCCTACAGTGCTGCCCGCCAGAAGTAGGGGCACGGATGTATTTTTCGGGGAGGGGTCTCCATACCATGCTGCATTTG